CCCAAGAGCTGGGATTAAAGGCGCACACCACCACGCCCAGTCTCAATTGCTTGCTCAGCACACTCCAGGGGCGGGGCATGCACAGCAGGCTGGGGGATTGAACCCTAGGCCCCTGCGCCTGCTTGCAGGTGCTTTAATCTGCTGAGCTATTTGGCCGGCCCTTATTTATATTTTTATTTGGTACAGGGTTTCACTACGCAGCTCAGACTCATAGTGATCTTCCTGTCTCGGCCTCCCCAGCACTGGGGATACAGGCACAGAGACCGGGATTTGATCCCTGGAACCACATGCTGCACTGGCCCTGCCCCCGGGCACGCTGAGCCGGCCACTGGGTGGGTGTGGTGGTGCACGCCGGTAATCCCAGTGCTAGGGAAGCTAAAAACAGGAAGATCAGTACGAGTCCGAGCTTCCTAGTGAGACCCTGTAGCAAATAAATAAATAAATAAATATATGAGTTTTAAAAGTTAAAAATATTTGTTCATTTTTAATATGTACATTATGGCAAAATTTCTTATCTTCGAAATACATGCAAGGGCCAGCCAGATAGCTCAGCGGACTAAGGCGCCTGCGCAGGCAGAGCGCAGTTGTCGGCGTTCCATCCCCGGGGCTGCTGTGCCACCCCCTGGAGCGCGCTGAGCTGGCGACTGACGCTGGGCATGGTGGCGTGATGGCACACACCTGTAGTCCTAGCATTTGGAAGGCTGAAAGCAGGAGAATCACGAGTCCGAGCTGCGTGGTGAGACCCTGTACTAAAATACATTTAAAAAATAAAAAGAAATACATGCAAGCAGGTAAAAACCAAATTCAGGCCAGTAGGAGTTAACTAATTTCTTTTTTAATTTTATTTTGATGCCAATAATATGTAAACATAATCTTCAGAGTTTCTGTTGATAGCCAGGGATTGCTGCTGTTTTACTTATGTCAGGCAAAGGATAGTGAAATTTTGCTTTGGAAATTCCTGGAACCTTCAGTGGTCTTTGAACTAATAAATCTTGTACCACTAAAAGAATATTACTCTTTTTTTTTTTTCTCCGAATGCCTTCGGGGCAGGGTTGTCTGGCTGGAGTTGTGGGGATCGAACCACAGCAGCCTGAGCCTGACTGCTTTGTTGAAGCAGCCACTTAAAGAACCGAGCTAAGGGGCAGGGCCCCAGGAATATTATTCTTATGATAATAAGAATAACCTTTTGAATGCTTGACATAATAAATACCTAAAAGGCAATTTGTTTTATGAGTCTATTTTTTCTGCTACAATGGGGATATTGTAAATCATGCATTTGTATTAATGATATTTCTTAAAGCAATATATGTAACTAAACTAAATCAAGCTATAAAATTTTGTAGACAGTTATAAATTCTGTTGTGGCTACTGTAAACCTCATTGGAGTTTTAATTGGCAGAATATGTTATTGTTGTATATGTATTTGTACGTGGTTAAAATATATTAAGGATGTTTTGTTAAATAAGTGTCTTAATTGGAAAGTGCATATATTTGTATAAAGCTCTATTTTATTTATTTATTTATTTATTGTATTTTAGCGAAGGGTCTACAGGATGTTCAGGGTCTCACTGCTAGATCGGCCTTGTAGTGATCCACCTGTTTACAGCCTCCCAAGAGCTGGGGTTACAGGTGCGCACCACCACGCCCAGTCTCAGCTGCCATCTCAGCTGGCCCCAGGGGCGGGGCCAGCGCAGCAGGCCTGGGGAGCCAACCGCCCGCCCCTGTGCCTGCTTCCAGGTGAGAAGCTCTAATTTTTTTTTTTTTTTTTTTTGGAACCGGGGATTGAACTCAGGCCCTTGCACTTGTCAGGGAAGCGCTTATTCCACTGAGCCATCTCCCTGGTCCCTTTTAAGATTCTTTTTTTTTTTCTAATTTTTATAAAACAAAAAAAATACTATAGAAATTATCCTGACTCAGTGCCATCCACATAGCTCAGCAGACTAAAGTGCCTGCTTCGGCAGAGCACAGCAGCCGGGGTTCAATCCCTGGTGTGCCATACCGTCCCTGTCCCCAGAATGCACTGAGAGAGCAACTGAGGTATGGTGGTATGTGCCTGTAATCCCAGGGCTTGGTAGGCTGAAAATAGGAGAATCACCATGAGTCCATCTATGTAGGGAGACTCCGTACACCCTGTGGACCCTGTCCTAAATTCATAAAAAAAGAAATTAGCATGACTCATGCACATATTTTGAATTATCTACAGTATTTCAATTTCAAGATATCTATACTTTCAATTGATGACAAAGTATTGCTATTGTTAATGCAACACTGATTTGTTACCTACATTCTTAATTGAAAAAAATGCTGGGACTGGGGAGATAGCTTGGCAGTCTAAGCACCTTCCTGGCAAGCACAAGGACCCAAATTCAATCCCAGGTATCACATTCCTTGCGGGCCCTGGAAGCCCAGGCGTGCTGTGTGGCCCTGAAATTGGGTATGGTGGTGCACGCCTGTAATCCCGGCACTAGGGAGCCTGAGACAGAAGGATCACTATGAGTCTCAACTGCGTAGCGAGACCGTGTATAAAATAAATAAATGGGGAAAAATACTAATTTTCAGTTAAAGACAAATGAAAAAAACACAGATGTAATTATTTTTCCATCCAGGTTCATGGACTTCTTGGATCCTTTCTGTGGACTGCAGATTATTCCACTCTAAAGGTTGTTTCACTTCACCAACCTCAGAGGGAGCCCTCCAAGAACAGAGGTCACCCCTTCATCTTATTTTTATTTTTATTTATTATTATTATTATTATTATTATTATTATTAGACAGGTCTCCCTGTGTAGTTCAGAACTCACTCTGTAGCCCAAGCTGGCCTTGACCTTAAGGTAATCCTCCTGCCTCAGCCTCTTGAGTGCTGGGATTACAGGTGTACACGACCACACCTGGCTCACTTTATAATAAGTGTGTAGAGAGAGCCACACAAAAGCTCAACACTGGTCTGTTGTGTCTTGTGGAGTTTCTTGGTAAATTGCGTGATGGCGTCTCTCTTCTTGATCTTTCTACTTGTTTGTTTCTTTTCTTGTTTCATTGCCTGGGTTGGGATCTTCAGTACAGTGTTGAATAGGAGAAATGAGAGTGGGCACCTCTATCTTATTAAGCTCAAAACTCACTAATTTGTGCAGCAAGAATGTAAAGCATCCACAGAGTGCCAGATCTGGAGCGGGCATAAAGATAGACAGCCGATGAGACAGCCGCAGAAGGGTGCTAGTGAAGCTGGCAACGCTGGCTGCTGATTCCCCAGACATACTGAGCCTCTCCCTCGGGTCCAGCTGCCCGCAGAGCATGGCAGTAGATCCTTGCTGGGGACCTCAGGCCCGGGGCACAGGTCAGGGTGGGCAAGAGCCAGGCAGGTGGGTAGAACCTGAAGTGAAGCCTTCAGCAGGACATCAGCCAGAGCTTGGGGCTCAGGCCCTGCCTGTGAGGACCTGTCATCCGTGTTAAGCTTGCAGCTACCAGCAGGGCCAGTTGTTAACGTCATGGGGGTGGGGGGGCGAGCGCCAAGGCGTGAGCTTCGAGTGGGGGCTGGGCAGCACTCCTCACATCTTCTCCTTTCTGTCCGGCTGGTGTGTGTGTGGGCGGGGGGAGAGCTTTTAGTAAAATATAAGGAGGCTGAGGTTTACAGTGGACCAGATTTCACCTCAGAGACTGGAACAGGACTGTTAGAGTAACCAAATGCTGCCCACCAGGAGAGGGAAAAGGAGGACAGTAGCAGTCAGTGGAAACAATAACCTGAGGGCAGATAATGCCCACAAAGCAGCCATACCCTCGTCCCCAAGCCTGTGAGCTGCCTGACCTTGTGTTTAAGCTCCCAAGTGCCCCCAGGATCCTGGGTCATGCCGATGACCTCAGTGACAGCAGGAAGGCCGAGCCTCTTAGAACACACCAGATGGGTGTGCTGCGGGTCTGTCTGTCGCAGCTGAGATTACTTAGTTGTGGCTGTTGGGCCACGTGTCTGCCCAGGACGCAGCAAGCCAGAGAGATTCTTCGGGGAGGGATGCCCTTTTGCATGCAGGGCTGGAAACTAGCCTTGGGCACCAGGCACTGGGCATTAGGGCTGCATGGGCCTGCATAAACAAACCCGATGAAATAAGCCTCACCTTCCCAACTCCCTGTCCCACTTCCCTCAGTGACACCCCTAGAGTTTACTACGCTAGTCCAGAGAGCCACTTGTTCTGTCATTTCGTTGCCATTGTCCAAAAAATATAAAAGCATCAGGCTGCAGTCATCTCCTTAGAGTACACTCTCTTGGGAGGTCCCATGTATGTAAAATTAACAAAATCAGATGCTTTTTCTCTTCTGAGTTAGTCCCAGTTGGCTTCCTGGATCCAGTCAGAGTCCACAGGAGAGGGGAGAGGGGAGGGGACCTCTCTCCCTCACATTAGTCCCAGAGACAAGAGAAGGGGGGACCACATGCGGGAAGTCCTAGCAAGCTGGACGCACAGCAGAGGCGCTGCGCAGGGCCTGCAGGATGCTGGCAGCCAGCTCAGGGCTGCACAGCTGGAGGACAGCACAGCTGGCTTCTAGGCCACTGCGTGAGTGCCTGAGCGTTTGTGACAGTGCACTACCGGGCAGCAGGAAACAGCACCCAAGGCGTCCAGACCCCACCTAACCACAGCACAGGGGGCGTGTACAGGATGGTGTTGCCCTCTGGGGTGGCAATCGGTGGCCTGTGGGGCAACACAGAGGCTGAAGAACTGACCTGAGGTGGGACAGGGCCAGCCCCCCTTTGTACCTCTGCCTCAGCCCCACCCTGAGGAGCCCTGGGCAGGGTTTCCAGGCGAGCCGCCCCTTAGGGTCCTGGGCCCACCCCGAGAGACCCTACTTGGCAGACCCAGCAGGGCCGTGGGGCCGCCCCCGCGGAGGAGGAAGGAAGTACTTCCTCCTCCCTCCCCTTCCCTCGGCCTCGGGATTCGCGATCGCTCGGCGGGCGGACCTTCGTCCATCCGCAGGCCGGGTGGCCCGGGCGCGGGCCTCAGGGGGCGGCCCGAGGGCGGTGGGGCGGGGCCAGGCCGCGCGGCGCTGGGGCGAGGAGTAGCGGGTGGCCGGGGCTGGCAGGCGCAGGGTAAGTGCGGGGCCCCAGCCTCCCTCCAAGGAGTGGGGACCCCTCGAACCCCTCTCCCAGTCCTCAAGCGGGGCCCCAGCAGGGTCCACCCCGTTGCCTTCGCGTTTCCCAGCGCGGCGGTGCTGGCACCCAGGACCCTGCCCCTGCCCGGGGACCGGGTGGCGTCCAGGTGCGCGGAGCTCCGCAGACTGCGCCACCTGGGGAAGCAGCAACAGGTGAAACTGGTGCCCTCCTTGTCTCCCTGCCCAGGTGGAGACAGCGGGACTGGAAGACCAAGCCGCTGGCCTTGGTGACACAGCAGGAGGGGCAGAACCAGGACGCACAGCCAGCCAGGTGTGTGGAGCCCAAGTCCCTTGTTCGTATCCCACCTGACCCCACCGGTGGCCTGTGGGGCGACAGTGGGAGAGGACACCGGTGTAGTGCTAGTGCTGCTTACCCAAGGAGGCAGGCAGCTGAAAGGAGGGAGCCCCCGGGCAGCAAATCCCTCACCTGGAAATACCTGAAGTACCCACTTCTTGGGTGACTGAGAGGACCAAGAATGGTGGCTTGGGGCCTAGGGAAACTCAGGACAGAGAGGGAGCCCTCTCAGGGAAGCCCGACCCAAGACCCAGCAGGTACTTCCCGGGCTGCAGGGGCTCTTGTGGGCTTAGCCATGTGACCTTGGCTCCCGGTGCCTCAGTTTCCCTGTCTGTCCCATTGGGCTCTGTGTGTTACCTGCCTCCCAGGATCACTGAGGAAAGTGACACCCACCATCCAGAGGACCTTTCCTCAGGTCATTAGGACCCTCTGAGATCAAAGGCCCCACTAGAGGTAGCCTTTTTTGTTTGTTTGTTTTTTGGTGGAACCAGGGATTGAACTCAGGCCCTTGCGCTTGCGAGGGAAGCGCTTATTCCACTGAGCCATCATAGCCCTGCCCACATAGCCCCACTAGAAACTCAAAGCCTCTTGAGTGAGCCTAAAACCCTAAGGGGAAAGGCTGGGAAGGGCAGGGGTTTTAAAATCTTAGGGCTACAACTTGCACAATTCCAGAAAGGCTCTGCTGACCCCAAGCCCGCCCTTGACACTGTTTTAGCAAGAAGGGGAAGCCCAGGGAGCCCGTGTCCCAATCCTTTCCTGGCCACTATAGCCTACAACTTTGGAGCCACCAGCACCCTACCCCCTGGCCAATAGCGAGTTTACCTCTGTAGCATCTTATCCCGCTCCCCCATGGTGCCGCCTGCTGCACCCTGATCCCCAAATCTCCAGCCTTCCTCCCTTGGCCGGCTGTCACACCTGGGCTCCAGGGATCCTTCTGCTTCTCTCCCGCCATTCCTGCAGCAACAGCCCCCTCCTGCTGGGCTCCTAGAGCCTCACGCACGTGCTCTTCCTTTTCTTGAGACCAGGCTCCCCTGCAATCTCCTTGTGACCTGGTCACTTGAAATTCAGGTCACTTCCTCAAAAGCTCGGCCATCCGCCACAGCCTGGGGGAGTCTTTGGGGCTTTGCTGTTTTCCTTCATCTCAGGGCTTACCCCTGGATGGTGTGACCTCCCTTCCATGTTTCTTGTTTTTTTGTTTGTCTTCCCAGCTCAATCAGCCCACTGAGGTCCCAACCTTGTCCTTCCTTTTCATCTCAGATTCTAGAGAACTCAGCGCCTGACATTTAGTAATCTAGTAATCTGGTCAGATAATTTTGTGCAGTTGCAAGAAGCCTAACCACCTTTCTGCGCTTCTCCTTTCTTGTTGCTTAACCATTTCTTTCTCCATCTCCACATAGACCACAGTGCTGTCCTCTCTCTGAACAGCTGCCTGCCTTCTTTAGCTCTTCCCTAAAGTGGGACTTTGCCAGGTTTTAACATTACATAGCTGTAAACACTTGTCCCTCTTGTGCATTCTTTTCATTTTCTTGCTATCAAATGATTTCTCTGGAATGCATTTTCCAAAATGGTGTGTTCAAGTCCAGGGGGTGTCACTTGGAAGGCAACTGCCACTTGTTGCTAGATGTCTGTTTAGAATAATCACCTCCTACTCCATGTGCGCAAATTTTCCTGCAGCCCTGAAAGCGTTGGATTTTAACATTTGTATTTGTTTTGGCTAGTTCAGTGGGGGAAGCAGGGGAGGTTAGAATCCTCTGCTGCTTGAAGGGGCCAAGCTGGCTGTTTCCCTGTGTGTGCCAGTTCTGTTTTCTGGCTTGCAAAGGAAGCTAAACTCTGCAGGCTGCAGAAGCTGCTCTGTCAACCAGCAAGAAGCCCAACAGACCGTCCTGTGCACCCTGAGCGTGGAACTGTGTGGGGAGAGAAAGCCTTTTTTTCCCTGTCTTTGTGAATAGTTCTTTTGGCATGGTAATATTTTATAAATTATAAAAAGTAACTCAAGTAAGGGTTACTGTGTGGACTCACTCCCTGAAGCTTTGGGACAGGAAGTCAGGGAAACGCTTGGAAGTTCATGGCCACTAGTTTTAAACAGGTAGTTCCAGGGGACACCGAGTGCCACCACAAGAAGTGCCCTTGGCCCAGGACAGTGCAGATCTCTCCTCTGGTTGCTGAACAAGTGACTACACACTTGGAGTCTCGAAACAACCCAGGTGTATCATCTCCTGTGTCTGTGGGTGGAACCTAACTCAGTCTCAGTCTCCAAAGCACCCTGCCTCCAGGGCCTCGCTGCTTCTGGAGGCTGCTGGGAGCTCCGCTCGGCCTCCCCCGTTGCCAGCTCCTAGAGGTGCCCGCCTTGTTTGTCAGCCCCTTCCTCCGTCTTTGAAGCCAGCAGCAAGCATCTTCAGTGTCCCTCTGCTGCCAACTCTGCTTCTGTCCTCCCTGGCATCCCACCTCTACTCATGACCCTTCTGACTGGGTGTGTGGTGCATGCCTGTAATCCGAGCTACTCAGGAGGCTGAGGCAGGAGGATTGTGC